TCTGAAGGATTCAACAATCCAGGGCTGCCAATACTCACCAGGACAGGCCTGGCTGGCCTCAGACTGCAGACCTTGGCACTCTTCCAGCCCACCCCACCTCTCCACCACAGTCAAGCCAGCTCTTGCACAACCCCAAGGTTGACCCAGCTGGACCAGAATCAGAGATGATGAGAACTTGCTGAGAAAGCACATTGCTTCATTCAGAGGAGGGAAGAAGTACCGATTTCAGGCTGAAATAACTGTTGCACTAATGCCTCAACTACCAAGTCTCTAATAGAATAGGTTTTGTGGGTGTCAAACAAGTGGGTTCTAGTGACCCAGGACTAGTTGTGAGGCAAGGCCCACTGGGGCTCCCCAGAACTCACTGTGCACCTCACAGTCTGGTATCCCTGCCACTTTCTGCTATGCTCGGTCCCAGGGCCTGGAGCATCTTTGCAGTCCCGCACGTTTGCACTTCACAGAGGACAATGTTCATGTTTGTGAATAGAAAACAAAAAAAGACTACTACCCCATTCACGGACAGAACATGTGAGATATGAAAGGGGAGAAGGGAAAGGATGAGAAGGAGGAAGCAAGTTAACCACTGTCAATCAATTCATGTCCCACTGGACCTGACACACTGAACCTAATGCAAGGATCTGTGAATAGCAATGAAAATAAGAGTATGACTCCCTCTCACTAGATAGAACGTCAGACAAAGAGAGGGATGAAAGAGGAGGAAAGTGGGAGTGAAGGAAACCGCCCCACTATCACTTCAGGATAAAATGCTCACAAGGGGCCCCACACACCTACTCAAATCCAGCACCAACCACAGGCTAGGGTCACAGTGCTTCCTCAGTTGGACATCTCATTGGTAGGTCAGAGATGGATATTTTCTGTGGCTTGGTTTTTCATATCAACCCCATCTTACCTCACCCTTCTACTGACAGCTGCACACACTCATGAAGTTCTCCTACTCCCGGGGTCCTGAACAGGAAAGTCCCGGGGCTTTTCCTTTTGGCTCAAAATAGCAACTGCCACTTAGAAGCCAAGGCAGAGAGGGAAGGGAGCCCAGCCAGCCCATCCTCCACTAGCACTGGGACCTTGAGCAAGTGACTTCCTCTCCACAGTCTCAGTTTCCTTATCTGTCCAATGGGACTGATAATTCCATCAACCTTGGAGGAATGTTGTTAAATTTGATCCATAGATTCAAAATGCAAGTTCACATCCAGGTATAAAGCTAGTGTTAGTAATGGTGGTTAGTTTTCATCTCCATGAAAGAAGAGCACGAGTCATCCTTTAGTGGTGGGAACGCATCCAGAGGCTCAAGTTCAAAGGACATCACCAGGGAAGTCAGGTGATGTGCAGAAGACCAAGGATGAGTGGTAGTACATTATACTTTGGAAACAATGATAGCTGCCCATGTGAGACAGGACCACTTCCCCTGTGAGAAGAGAAGAGTTTTATATTCTTAGCGGAGCCCTCTGTGTACTCTGGCTTCCATTACTCCTAAGGCAGAAGACAGCTGTCACCACCCTTAGATCCACGTTCCCTGGTAGAGAAGGTCACCCTCATCAGTGCTGTGCATAGCCCCAACCTGGCAGGAGTGAGCAGCCATCTTCCCCAAGAGTGGAATAGGCACGCGCCCAAATTTCAATTTAATATGACAGCATTTGTTACATTCCTATTGGTTGCAGACTGCATCTGTCAAAGGTCACGTGAAGGCAAAGAGGACTCTTACTTCATCCCCAATCTGTTTCCATTTCACAGCTCCTCTGAAGGTGGGCACGTGGCAGGAGTGGACTCCAACACTGGGCAGAATAAAAGAACAAAGGATAAAGGAGCTCAGGGTAAAGTCAAAAGTTCTGCCTAATGGGGAGGCACAAGAGGAAGTATGTCTTTCCCAGCTCTCAGGAAGCGAGGAGGGTTTGAGCCTGAAAGGAAGGAGAGGAGACCAGAGCTCCTCTGGCTGACCCCGAGCCACCCAGTAAGAAAATGTGCTGACTCATCTGGTGGAAGGGGACATCTGGGAGACACTTGGGCAGAGGTAGGGCAAGGCTTCCGTGACACTCCTGCATCCTCAACTTCTTTTTGTCATAGGTTGAGTCTGTTCACTCCAGGAGCACACAGATGGTGTGAACCAGCTGGGAGGGAGCCCATGGCAGAGGTCAAGGTGAGAGGTCAAGAGAAGTCAGAGCACAGAATTCACTCTCTTGAACCTGATGTGCTCCTGGGGAATCTGCACTGTACCCCAAGGTTGGTGAAGACTGAAAGTGTGTGTGGTGAAGACTGAGTGCTCAGTTGATATAGTTTGGTGTTGCGAGGGACATTGGTGGCCACGTAAGGAACAATCTGGATGATAAGTAGCTCTAATGGGTTCAAATGAGAAACAGGATCTGTGGAGTTGGGAATTCAAGAGATCTGACTCCTGACCCAAACCCTACCTGGTCCACACCAGCAGGGGGCACAAGATGATTCAGAAAGTCTGAGCCACAGCAGACTCTGGCCAACTAATTTGAGATGTCCATAACCTTTCTCCAAAATATACCCAGGAGTATTCTCTCGTGTCTGCAGCCTACACAGCCATGGTTTACACTTAACACTTCATTCCAGACAAGCCCAGGGGATGGCTACTTTCCCCTGCACCCTGCAGCCACCCGCACTCCCGTAGGTTATGTTTGAAGGCGATGCAGCACGGGACGGCGTTTCTCTAGGTAAACTTGTGACCAGCTTGGCCACACCGTGAATCTGAACAATGGGATGTGTCTGGTTGTGATGACTGCCACTCTGCCTCACCTGCCTCATGGAAACGTGCTCCCTTGGTTTGGGCTTGTTCTCTTGCTTTCTTTCCCATACTCTCACAACACAGCGCCAACCAGGGACAGGAAGAAGCAGCCAAGAGATAGCTGGCCACAGATGGAAGGAGCCCATGTTCCTGAATAACTCCATGGAGCAAGGCTGCACAAAGTCCTGAACTCCTCCCATGGACCTGAGGCTTAAAAGAATGACTGTTTTCCAGAAGCTGCTGCCTTGGGGTCTCTTTCAGCCAACTCCTTCTCCACAAATACAATGTGATCGGGGATTTTTAGGGATGGAGTGTAAGGAACAACAGGTGATCCCAGACCAACCTGGCAGACTCTAATGCACGTGGCCATTTTCAGCAAACGTGACCCCTTTTCCCATTCTAGAAGGACAAGAGACACACTGAAGCAAGAATGGGCACTGGGTTCTAGATACATCAAATTCTCTGTTTTGGTGGCCTAGGTTTGAAGGACATACCTTATACTACATCTACCTGAGGATATAAAGAGTTAAGTTTTTATCTCTTCTCATTTTGACCACAAAATTCAGAAATTTGTTTTCCTTTGCATTTGCCTTCATCTACCCACCCCAGTTTTATCCCTTATATAAGGATGGAACTATTTTGAGTACTTTTCTTTTATAATCACATTTACAATTTCAAATCTAATGCAGTATTTTGCCTTTAATATACCTTGTTCTTTTAATTTGAGCCTCTATATCAGGGATCAGGAAAGTATGGTCACCTATTGCTCTTTGGTTTTGTTATTAATTTATTATGTTTATTGTGGTAAATAATCATAATGTAAAATTTGTCATCTTGACCCTTTTAACAGATCAGTGTTGTTATGTGAACTTACAATGTTGGTAGCCATCACCACCTTCCATCTCTGTAACACTTTTCATTTTGTAAATTACCCATTTAACTCCTCTCATTCTCCTCTCCCTTCTGTCCCTGGAAACTACCATTCTATTTTCTGTCTCTATGACTGTGACAGTGCTACCTCCCTTAAAGAAGTGGAGTCATAAAGTGCTTGACTGTTATAACCTATTTATTTCAGTTAGCATAATGTACTCAAGGTCCATCCAAGCTTTATCATGTGTTGAAATTTCCTTCTTTTCAACATTGAATGATATTATTTTGCGCTTATGTGTGCACCTTCTCCATTCATTTCTACACGAATTCATGGGCTACATCTATTAACTACTCTTGTGAATATTGCTACTAAGAACATGAATGTACAAACATATATTTGAGAACTTACTTAGAATTATATTGAGTGCATACCCAGAAATGAAACTAGTATATGATGTGGTGATTCTATTTTTCATTTCTTGAGAAACTACCTGACAGATTCCTACATTTTCCACTCTTACTGGCAGGGCAAAAGTGTTCCAATTACTACACATAACCACCAAACCTAACATTGTCTGTTACTTGACAGTAATTGTCCCAAGGTGTGCGAAGTAGATCCTCATTAGAGATTTGATTTGCATGTCTCTAATGACTCGTGATTTTGAGCAAGTTTTCCTGTGCTTGTTAGCATTTGTGTATCTTCTCTGAAGAAAAGACTATTCATGTCCTCTGTCCTTGTTTGAATCTATTGCTTGTTATTTCTTTCCCTAGTCACTTGTGTTTGTAAATAACATTCTATATGACAAAGCCACACCCATGAATTATCTGTAAATTATTACTGCTTCTACCCAAAGATGACACAGGGAGGAATTATGACAAAGACCATGAATTATTGGCACATCACAGAAAATATTTGCTTACTTCCTTCTAGACTAATATTTAGTCTAGTTTAATATTTTTACCTATCTACATAACTATTATCATTCCTTCACATTAATTCTATTGTTCCTTATTATTATTATTTCATTTGTTAAGTTAAAGTTTAACAAATAATTATTTCCAATTTCCAAAATTCCTGACTATTAACTGTATGCCAGGCACTGTCAAGACATATCAGAGATGAAAGACCAACAAGCCTTGGATTCTCTCCTTAATGATCGAGGTGGGTGAAAACACACACAATGCCAATTACAACTCAACAGGAAACGTTTATGGGTAAATGTCTTGAGAACACCGAGAAGGGGTACCCAGATCAGGGAAGGCTTCCAGGAGAGGGGGACAGAATATGGTTGGCCTGTGTGCTGGTCAACCCAGCACCTCTCTGAAGCGTGAAACACAGCTGCACCTGGCCAGTGGAGGCACAGCGAGCTGCAGAATGATGCGGAGCCTGGCACAGAAGGACGCCCTTCTGCAGGAATCCCAGGGTATAGACATGGAGAGGGAACAGCAATGACATAGACACCTGCTTGACCACCAAGAGTCCCCCTGCCCAACATCCCCCTCACCCAACCCAGGTTGTGGACAACAGAACAAACACTCCAACCTCAATGACACAGTCAGTCCAGAGGGCCAGAGGCAGTAAGACAAGACTCACAGCAAGTGTGGTTCAGGCTTTACTAGGGGTCAGACAGTGCTAGGGCACCCCACACTGGGAACCAGGGCCTGCACACCACATAAAACTGGTCTTTCAGGTATTGCTGGGAACTAGGGTCAGCTGAGCAGAACAGTCTATTTGGATTCAAGGCAAGGAGGGACAAGGAAGGCCTGGCTGGGGCTTAGCTGAAGAAATGGGGAGCTGAGGTTTAGAGAGGCTTGGCTGGGGAAGGGCTTGGGTAAACAAAGGGAGACAATGGGAGCTTGCAAAGGAGAAAGGAGTGGAAAGAAGAAGAAAGGAATGAGAAGACTAAGGGTAGGGGTACAGGAAGACAGCCCAAGCCCACGGCCACAGGTGCATGGGCCACTGAGTCTTGGCAGTACACTGAGTCGTGGCTACTTGTCACGCCACGTAGCCAGTTTCAAAAATACAGGTTTGGGGAGGAAGTGGCTAGACTTCATGTAGGCAGAAATCTTCTTCAGGCCCTGTGAATGGGAAAACAAAAACAGGAGCTCAGGGCTTCTGCCTACTGGTCTCGAGCAGCCCCACCAGCATGCAAAATATATACGTAAAAAGTCCACCCAAACACCGTGCAAAATTGTTCCACACTCAGCACTCATCAGAGGGGAGACAGAGGGAGACAGAGGTTATGTAACTTTCTCCTTCACCCATGGCTGCATGCAGCCAGGTTCAGCCTCTCCAATTCTGTGCCCTTCTCCCTCCCACTTGAGGTCCTGCCTGCACAGACATTCTCTTTTTGCACACTGAGGCTCCTGCCTTGCCTGTAATGAAAACGGAAAAGGACCTAGCAGAACAGAGGGAATGAGAACTTGGTTGTGAAGTTTGGATTTCACCCAGTGACTCAGCAAATCCTGGATGTAAGTGGGGGTGGGGGAGTAGCCCCACAAAGAAAGGAGTGACAGCTCTAACCATTCTCCTGAATCAGAAAACTGAAACTCTCTCACCTGATATGTGGGCATAAGCTCACTGTGGCCCAAAACACCTCACCTCTACACTGATAGTGCAGATTTGTTGGGGGCTACCTCATGAGGAAAGAGGGGCCAGATAATTTCTAAAGGATTCATAGAGAACCAGGGTTGCCAGTTCCCAACAAGCCAGGTCCAGCTGTGCTCACGCTGAGGTATTCTGTGCTGCACCATCCCTGTATCACACAGTCAAGCCAGCTCTTACACAATCTCCAAGGCCACCCAGCCTGGTCCAGAACCAGAACTGATGAGAACTTGCTGAGAAAACACATCTCTTGATAAGGAGTGGGATCAGGTTCAATGCTGAGATAACTGTTGCACTGATGCCTCCAATTCCCAAAATTTTAATAAAGGAAATTTTGTGGGAGTCAAACAAGTAGACTATGGATGATCCATGATTAGCTGTGGTGGAGCCCAGGCTGGACTCCCCAACACCCAGTGGTACACGAGTACCTCATAGTCGGGTATTTCTGCCACTCTCTGCTATACCCAGAAGGTGGAGAAAATCTTTGCATGTCCTACTGGGTCTGACACTGTGCCTCAAATGCAGCAGAATACTAGTGTTTAGGAGTTTTTTTAAAAAAAAGACTATGACCCCATTCCGCAGATAGAAGACCTGAGATACAAAAGAGAAAAAGGAAAAGGATGATGATGAAAAAAAAACAAGTTAATCACCATCAAACAACTCAAAATTAATTCCTCCAACAGGGACTCCATAGGTCTATTCAAATCCAGCACCAATCAGAGCCCTGGGGTCTCAGTGCCTCCCCAGTTGGAGATCTGACTGAGCAAAACCTCCCTCAGGTGAGATACAAACCTTGTACATCTAAATCACTCTACCTTGTATCACCCTCCTAATGCCAGCTGCACACACGTTCTCCTCCTCCTTGGGGTCCTGGGCAGGAAACCCAGGCTGCACAAGAGTCTGGAGCTTTTCCCTTTGGCACAAAACAGGGGCAGCCTCTGATTGTTACTCTTGCAAGCCAGAGGTCCACAGGAAGTCCAGCACAGCCTACACTGGTGCTGGGACTTTGAGCAACTGACTTCCCTCTATATCTTGGAGTCCTTATCTGTTCAATGGAACTGGACATTTTATCCACCCTGTAGGAATGTCACAGTGATAAACTTGGCCCACTAGATGCAAGATGCTTAGCACAGGTCCTAGCAGAAAGCCAGTGCTCAACAAATGCTAGTTATTCCTCATTCAACTCCAGGACTAGGACAGCATTGTGCAAAGGAGGAAGGGAAGAAGCACATCCAAGAGGAGGGAGGAGCAAGGGCATCACCTCAAAGCGGGACAGAAAGTCCTTCAGGTTTGGGAACGCATCCAGGCACTTGGGCTCAAATATACGGTGCTGGTCAAGGACGTCATAAGCAATGAAATCCACAAAGGTGATCTGCAGAAGGCCAAGGATCAGTGGGCTGGACGAACTGAACCTGGGAAGAATGCCACCTTCTCCTCCCCATCTCCCTCCCCTTTACCTTGTCCCCTGCAAACCATGGCCTCTTCCCCAGGAACTGTGAGTACAGTTTCATCTTCTCAGGGAGGCCCTCCAAGAACTCTGGCTTCAGTTTCTCCTGAGAAAGAAGACAGTTGTCAGACACAAACCCCCAGCAGAGAGGCTGATCACACCAGGGCTGTGCAGACCCCAGCTGGCCAGGGGTGAGCAGCCATCTTCCAGAGACTGCACCTGGTCAGGGTCTAGGCTTCATGTTAATACTTCAGCCTTTATTAAACTATTAAGTACCAGACTCCACTGTTAGAGGTGTTGAGAAGTCAGACATGAAAATAACACTTTTCCTGAATTTGTCACCAATGATGCCCAAAAGCAAGTCCTGGGAGGTAATACCCTAGAGTGTCATGAGCAGATGGAAGACTCTGGAATCAGATGTCTAGTGGAATCAAAAAAGTTTGCAAAGTACTAAAACACTAGGAGAAAAGACAAACTTTGACTTAGGATGTGGTTGAAGATAGGAATGGATATTTCATTACGTGCACAAAATTGAGGCAGGTTTGATGTTGAAAGGAAGGGCGGTGGGGGGATTGTGGAGAACAGAGGTGCTCAGGCTGACCCAGAGCTGCCTATTACAAACAGGTCCTGACTCACACTAATGTCAAGAGCACAGGTGGACAGATGGCTGAAGACCAGGTACCTCTTGTTCCCTCAATTTTGTTCTTTTTTATCTCTTGGTCTGAGTCGCCATATTTCAGAGACAGATAGAAGGTGAGAAGAACTGGAATAAAATGCCTATTATAGAGCATTTTATATAGAATTTTTTATATAGCATTTACTATATAGAAACTGAATGTCCAACCAGGGGATTTGCACTGCATCCCAAGAAGGCTAGGGATTTATTGGACAAGAATTTTTTGGAAGGGGCCGTGGGGCTCAATGTGTTGGTGGGATAGGAAAACTTGGAGAATCAGTATGAATAATGAATTCAAATGCCCAGTGGGACGAGTGTGAAGACTGCATGTTAACTCCTGCTCCCAAGACCCTCTGTCCCATCCTTATGGAGGACTCACAAAGTCAGGGTTGTAGCACATCATGCCAAGCTGTAGACGGGTGTCCCAAACCTGGTTCTCCAAAATGTCCACACGGATCTTCTCCTCTTCTGTCTCCCCACCTGCAGCCACACAGCACACACACCCTCGGCACCCACCCCAGACAAGCCCAGGGGACGCCCACTGCCCCCGCACCCTGCAGCCAGCCCCACTCACACAGGTCGTGCTTGCGGGCAATGTAGCGCAAGATGGCGTTGCTCTGCGTGATCTTGTGAGCCCCATCGATTAAGTAGGGCAGCTGCATGGACCACACAGAAGGTCAGGTGGGAGCCCAGGTCCCAGCAGCCCTTCCCTGCTTAGGACAGACATGGGACCTGCCACTCAGTGGGCCTGGCCATGGCGAGCACACATAAATACACTGCAGAATGAATGCAGAGCTGGGACCCAGAGCATCAGAGGAACACGGTGTAGACCACAGGAGTGAGTGCTAGAACTCTCAGCTGGGCAGGAGGGGAGGGAAGGAGGGAGGGAGGCCCATGCTTCCCCACGCCCCCTTCCCTGTACCTACATTGGGGAAGTCCAGGCCCAGTGTGAACTTCTCACTCAGCCACTGGCTTCTGTCATAGTCAGGAGCTGTGGTGGACAAGATGGAGTGAAAACAAAGATCCCCTGAGTCCAGCCCTCCTTCCCCATGGTCCCTGACGTGTAAGGCAAGACCCCCTGAGTTGGTGCATCTGCAGTCTGGCCCACTCCATCCCACATTCCCAGGTTGCAGGGGTAAAGAATGCTTCTTAGGTCTGTGGCCCTACAGGACTGAGATCTGAAAGGTTTAGGCCAGGCTTTAAGGAATTGTTACCCAACTTCAGACAGAGGGGGACCCAGCCCTCCACTCCCAGCGCCGCAGTGCATTGAAGACAAAGCTGCACTCTACAGGGGTTTAGGAAGGAGTGGGCTGTGGGTCCAACTGGAGGAGGCCTGAAGAGCTGGACAACAGGTGGCCAGACATGAGTGGCTGGGCACCAATGGCAGCAGCTGAGCAGGAATCTGACCAGGAAGTGTCATTACCGTCCCCCATGGTGTATCTCTTCTCCTCATAGCTTGAGTCTGTGTATTCCAGAAGCAGGCGGATGGCATGAGCCAGCTATGAGATATGGCAGGTAAACAAGATCGGGGTGAGGGGGGGGTGGGGGAGAGTACCTCCTCCAGGTGAGCCCAGCTTACACCTAACAACACCCTCCTCAAACATGCCTGTTGGCACATGTGCCTGCATGCACATACCATCACACAGCCTGGCATGCATGCAGGAATGTAACAAGGCCTCAAAAGGATCTTTGTCTAGAGCCAGGTCCCAGCTGCTCAACACCGCCCTTCATGCTCACTCCCCTCCCCCGAATCCCCCAGGCTACTCAGCAGTCTGACTGCTCACTTACCCCGCGGATGTCCCAGTAACCCAGCGTCATGGGCATGGTGCTGGTGTTTGTGCTCTAGAGTGAGTCTACTGGCCTCAGCAATGCAGAGCTGTAACTTTATCTGAGTGTACAACGTAGCAGGGCGGGGCTTTGACGGTCCTGCCACTCAGCTCCCCTGCCCTACCCACCCCTCCACCCACCACCCTCCCTATGTCTCTCCTCTGAGCCTCTGGCCAGGAAACCAGCAGAGGGAGCCAGTGACCAAGAAGAATAAGAGCCAAAGCAGCCTTAGTAGTGATGATCCCTGGAACCAACTCTGGACACCCAGAAGCCAAAGGTAGGGCTCTGCTCCCCTGCCTTTGCCTTAGCTCCCCTAAGGCTACCCTCTCCTGGACATATAGGGAGCTAGCAGTGCTCTTGCAGACAAGGCAAGTGGTAAGAGAGCAATGCTGATTATCTTCCTTCCCCCTCCTTGCATCATTCAATCTCCAACTTATAAATCCCTGGACTCTCAGAGCTCAGGCTGACTGTATCTGCCTGAGCTCAGGCCAAAAGGGACCTCCCCAGAGTTTAATTCAGCACCCATCACTGGAACAACAGGACTCTGGTCCTTGATGCTTCACAAACCATGACACCTCACATTTACAGTGTCAATGAATTGGGAATGAGCCCAGGACAAGGACAGACACAGCAATATGTAGTCTCTGTGTTTTCCTGTAGGGAATTTGGGGCACCCAGACTTTGGTCACCTGGTCAAGGATTATACAAACTAGCCACTTAGTATTGTGAGCCTGTTTGTGAACACAAATCCAAGAACCAGGCATAGAGGGCACAGGATGAGTGAGGTACCCCCAGCACCATGGACTGCAGTCAGCTAGCAGAAACTCACAGGGACCAGCACATTGGCCCTAAGTTCACAGCTGGGTTATGAGCTAAGGTGGAGAATTCTGAGCTCCCAGGAGTCAGACACCTGTCCTGCTTCCCAGGGAAGACAGGATACTGTCCAGAGGAAACTTTGGAGGGTATCACACTGGACCCAGGTAAGCCAGGGCCAGACTCTTAGTTGTCCAGGTCTCTGGATTCTAACCCTGACCCAGGCTTCTGATCCTTGTTAAGAAAAAGTGACTCAAATAGCCTTTTAAGTCACTCTGGCATCTAGGAGTTGGGTACAACCTCCACAAGAGCAATGTCCCACCAAGACCACTGTCCCATCTGCCAGCTTCCTTCCCGAAAGGCAGAAAACTTTCAAAACTAAGAGGTGTACAGTAAATTGCCCTGGGGTTGACTTTTGTCATGTTTCAAGGAACTTAGGGGACATAACGGCTGGTGGAAAACAGATGATAGCCCTTAAAAATGACAGGGTTCAAAAGCAAACTACAAGGTTGTTCTTCTGCAGAAAATAAATTTGGGGAATTAGGCTTGCACGGTTATGAACCCAGTGTATCAATAATTGTTTGAACTCACCAAGCAAAGGTGTGGAGTGGGATTTGATGACAGGCAAAGATCATCTCATCCCTATTAGGTCAAGGAAGTCATGTGCTCTGCCAGCCTCTGTGAAAACGGGAATTCAGAGATCTGTCAAAAATGCTGCCTCCTCATTCAGACACAGCCACTCCTCCAGCTCTGGTTCCTGGCCTGTGTCTAGACTCAGGAAGCAGCTTCAGCCTTAAAGAGAATTCCAGTATAGGTTTCCCAGAACCGGACAATATCTCCCCACATACACATACACACATGCATGTCTGGTCCTCTGAATTGTTACAGTACTTATTATACCTTAAGCATTTTTCATTCTAAGGTTTATACATCTTGAGCTTAGAAATATAAAATTTCTGGACTCATATGAAAAACTGTATTTTTTTAATGTTAAGATTAACTAGATGGTGTCTCACTACTTAGGAGGCAGAGATTAGAAGGATAGAGGTTCAAAGCTAGCTTGGACAAATAGTTCACAAGACCCTGTCTCAAAAAAACCCTCCACAAAAAAAAGGTTGGTGGAGTGGTTCAAGGTGTAGGCCCTGAGTTCAAACCTCAGTACAAAAAAAAAAAAAAAAAAGATAAACTAAACTTGGGCTGGTGTGTGGCTCAGTGGTAGTGTCTTTTCTTGAAATTCATGTGGACCAGAGTTTGAGCCCTAGAATGAACAAATCAAAAGTGGATTGTCAGACTAATTATTTTGAAAGACATTAATTAGAATAATAATTTTGAAACATAGAACAGATATTGTACTTTAGTGTTCATTGATTGAGTCAAACTCCAGTGGAAAGTGGTCTGAAGCAAGGGACTGTAGCCAGTAGTGACCTCTCCCCCGAACATCTGTGTGTTCTTCCCTGACTGTACAAAGTGGACAAGTCCTAATTGTTTAAAGGAACTTTATATAATGGTCATAATATATTGCATGAAATTTGCCTAAGAGTCTATAGGATGACCTTTAGGCTGAATTCCTTAATTCTTTTTACCTCTATGAATAACACTCTAACACTATCAAAGTAAATTCACACAAATTCTACATTTATTGGCTTCAGAATTTAAACAAACCACAATAAAAATATGTACCGAGAAAAAATCAAAGCTATTCTCCCTCATAGTAGAACTGATTGGCTAGGTATTCAGAAAATGGAGAAAGTATACTGTATTTTCTTATCGCTACAAAAAAAAATTAATATCAACATGTCCTCAATGTCACCAACTTTGATTGGAGAAAAAGAATGTCCTTCATTCTTCCAATGTTGAGAATTAGGTTAAGGGATGTAGCCCTGGATTCAATCCTAAGCAACACACAAAGGAAGGCGAGAAGGAAGGAAGGAAAGAAGGGAGGGAACAAGGGAGGAGAGAGAAGGGAAGGGAATGGAATTAAAGGAAAAATTAGGTTAAACACACTAGGGCTTCAAGATGGAGGGTTAGCAACAAAGTTTAATGTGAAAAAATAATTTATGAAAAATAGGAAATTATACTAATAAGAAAAACACTGAAACTTTCATCAATATGCAGAGTTAACCAACAATCAATTCTTTCAAAACATTAGCAAAATTGAAACAACATTACTCCAACAACAAACACAAAAGAGAAAATGCCCAGTTAACTATCAGGACTAAGAAAGAAGACTTAAAAATTATTACAAATGATTTGAAAATTGGAGAAGCATTTTTCCAAATATTTTTCATATGTGTGTGTGTGTCTGTACAACCAAGTAGATCAAACACAAATATAACAAAATATGAATGAAATAATGAGGCAGAATATAGAAAAATAAAAATACAAAAGGACAATTGTTCCTCAAGAATTAGCTGGTTGAAATTCCAAACCCTTCCAAAAAGTTTTGCTGTACCAATGGTCCCAAACTACACACAGTTATGTTATGAAAGACCTATCAGGGAAGACAGCACAGTGAGGATAAAAGCAAGTCAGCTCAGGTCCCTCCTGAGGCTGAATTCACTCCCACGCCTGACACCAGAGACACAATGTGGCGTCTTGGTTATAATTGTCTTTGTGATCACACACAGCATGCTGGGGATGGAGTCAGACAAAGAAAAAAGTGGGGAGGGAGGCAGAAGGAGGAGAAGATAGTGTGGACACAGTGAAGAGCTAGGGTACACAGGATTTTGTACTCTTTTCAGAAATTTTCTCTTACTCTAACGTTATACTAAATTCAAAAAAAGAAAAAGAAACATTCAACAGAATACAGACACATATTACCAATTACAATAAAAATTTCCAATCAAACGCATCTGTCATGCATGAATCACATCTTGAATTGTTTATTATTCTTCTGCTTTATTTTTTTTTTAATGGGAGTTTCTGTCCACTACACCACTGGTCTGTAACAGGAGGCAATTTTGCCCGTCAAGGGACATTTGGCAATGGTCAAAGCCTTTTTGAATGGTCACAGCTGGGAAGTGGGTTGAGGTGTTATGTTGCTAACCACTTGAACTGTATGTCACTACCTCCCATGGCAAAGAATTGGTTGGTCCAAAAGGTAGTAGTACCCAGGTTGGGAAACCTTAATAGAAGAACCATGAATGAGTCAAGAATCTATATTTGGAGAAAAATGGCCCTAAAATTCTGGCTAACAGGAAGGAGACCATAGCAGCCACTGCCCTGGAAACCAGCTGTCACAGGCACTGCATAAAGGGAGGGCCTAGAACAATCTTATTCTGGGAGCTACCACTATGGCTAGGCTGCTGATCAAAGGAAACAAAGAGACTGGGAAGAGTACTGGGTTTTCCAGGTAGAGAGGCTGGGCAGCCTGGTCTCCCAGGGTACAAGGCAGGGAGAAGCAAGACTCTTCTGGTAGTCACGCTGCCAGTCTCCCTGTAGTTCTCAGTAGCCTGTTCCAGATCCAGGCAGCTGAGCCCACTCCCATCCTAGTTATTCTTCCAGGGTTGGGAGCAGAGCCCAGCAGGATGAGCTGAAGCTGTCATTAAAAGTATGCACCATGACTGAAAGTGTGTGCAGCAAAATCATACACATCATTACCAACTTACAATGACCTTATGGGGACTCTCCCTGCATTTAACCCTCCCATAAGAGAGGCATAAGAATAGCATGGGTGACTACCATGGGCCAAGGTTAGCAGTGAGTGATGGAGCTCCTCCCCAATGTCCATCCACCCTTGCAAGCCTCCCAGACACCCTATGCACATAGGCTGGGCAAAGTATGCAAACACACAGGGGATTTTCCCCTTGGAGGCCCATGAAGTACTGATAAGCCAGGAGATTTACAAGGAGAAAACATATCTTATCTCCAAAGGAAGGTATCTTCCCTCTAAGCCACCTCGAAGCTGTATTTTAAGGCATTTCTGTTAGTCCAATTAAATAGAAAAAGTCCCCAAATAAATGGACACTTTTTAGCATTTTATGCTATGTGTGATTGTACACCTTTTTTTTTTTTTCAGTACTGGGGTTTGAACTCAGGGCCTACCTCTAGCCACTCCACCAGACCTTTTTTGTGATGTGTTTTTTCAAAATAGGATTTCACAAACTATTTGCCCAGGCTGGCTTTGAACTGTGCTCCTCCTGATCTCTGCCTCCTGAGTAGCTAGGATTACAGATGTGAGCCACTGGTGCCGGGCGGTTGTATGCCTTACTGATCGATGATTGTAGCCAATTTCTGTATTTGTTTGCTATGTGGACTAGTCAGGGAT